ATAAGGTGGAGGGTCAGAGAAAAAGAGGAAGACCCCCAGCGAGATGGATTGGCCAAGTGGCAGCATCGATGGACTCAAGCATGGCAACAGTAGTGAGGCTGGCCCAGGATCAGGCAGTGTTTCGTTCTGCTGTGCATAAGGTCGTTATGAGTCGGTACCGACTCAATGACACCTAACAACAACAATAACATATGCATGTGGAGTCCTGGCGTGACGCTGTGGGCAAATGCATCAGACTGCGAAGTTGTTTGAATTGCAAGGTTGGTGGTTCACGCTTACCAGCTGCTCCTTGGAAACCCTAGACAGAGTCGCTATGGATTGGAATCTACTCAACAACACTTATCAACAACAACAATAACATATGCATGTGGAAATTGGACAATGAATAAGGAAGACCATAGAAAAATTGATACCATCTCACTGTGGTTCCAATTTGCATTTTCCTAATGTCTAATTGTGTGGCGCTGTAAGATAAATACCGAATTGCTAACTGCAAGGTCAGCAGTTCAAACCCACCGGCTGCTCCCTAGAAACCCTTTGCAGGATTGCTATGAGTAGTAATAGACTCGATGGCCCTTAACAACAATAACAACATCTAATGATGTTGAGTGCCTCTCCATTGGCTAGTTAGCCATTTATATATCTACTTTGGTGGAATGTCTGTTCAAATCTTTTGCCCTCTTTTAAATTTGCTTGTGCCTTATTGTCAGACATGACTTGCAAACATTTTCTCCAGTTCTGTGGCTTGTATCCTTTATCATACCTACTAAGTCTGTATGCTGAGCAAACAATCCAAGAAGCTGGACTCTATACGTGGACGAACACTGCATTAGGAATTGAGGAAGGCTCATGAACAACCTGCAATATGCAGATGACACAACCTTGCTTGCTGAAAGTGAAGACTTGAAGCACTTACTGATAAAGATCAAAGACCACAGCCTTCAGTATGGATTGCACCTCAGTGGAAAGAAAACGAAAATCCTTACAACCGGACCACTAAACAACATCATGAAAAGGAGAGAAAAGATTGAAGTTGTCAAGGATTTCCTTATACTTGGATCCACTATCAACACTCATGGAAGCAGCAGTCAAGAAATCAAAGGACATATTGCATCGGGCAAATTTGCTGCAAAAGACCTCTTTATTAAAGACCAAAAATGTCACTTTGAGGATTAAGGTATGCCTGACCCAAATCATGGCCTCATATGCATGTGAAAGCTGGACACTGAGTAAGAAAGACCGGAGAAGAATTGATCTCTTTGGATTATGGTGTTAGTGAAGAATATCGAAAGTACCATGGACTTGCAGAAGAATAAACAAATCTGTCTTGAAAGAAGTAGGGCCAGAATGCTCCTTTGAAGTGAGGATGGTAAAACTTCAGCTCACGTATTTTGGGCATGTTATCGGGGGGTGGGGGGACCAGTTCTTAAAGAAGAACATGAGTTTGATAAGGTGGGGGGGTCATTGAAAAAGAGGAAGACCCCGAAGTGCTGATACAATGGCTACAGGAATGGGCGCAAACGTAACAACGACCGTGAGGTTGGCACATGACTGGGCAGTGTCTTGTTCTGTTGTGCACAGGGCCACTACAGGTTGAAGATGGCTTGATGGCATCTAACAACAATAGCAACAAATTTGAGGCTTGTCTTTTCATTTTCTTATTAGTGTCTTTTGAAGAAAAGACATGTTTAACTTGGATGAAGTCTGATTTATTGATTTTTTTTTTCTTGTATGGCTTGTGCTTTTGATATCATACCTAGGGAATCTTTGCTTACTCCAACGTCACAGAGACTGTCTTCCAGGTAGCATTTTTTTTTTAAAACCCTTTATGTTTAGGTCTGTGATTCATTGTGAGTTCATTTTGTGTATGGTGTGAGGTAAGGGGTCTAAGCTAAGTCCCTTTATGTTTAGGTATGTGATTCATTGTGAGTTCATTTTATGTATGGTGTGAGGTAAGGGGTTTAAGCTAAGCCCCTTTATGTTTAGGTCTGTTGTTCATTTTATGTATGGTGTGAGGTAAGGGGTCTAAGCTACACCCCTTTATGTTTAGGTATGTGATTCATTGTGAGTTCATTTTATGTATGGTGTGAGGTAAGGGGTCTAAGCTAAGCCTTCTTTTTTTTTTTTAATGTGGGTATTGGCTCCCCTATTAAATTATTTTCTCATTAATTGTAAGTCAATTGATCATCCATGTAAAGTTTCACACCTAAATTTTCTGTTCTGTTCCATTGATCTATAGGTCTGTTCATATGCCAAAATCACATGGCTTTATGTAAGGATGACCAATTTGTCCTGGTTTGCCAGTAACTTTACCAGTTTTAAAACAGAGTCCCCCAGCCTGGGAACTCCTTCAATTTTTTCACAAGCCCAGGACAGTTTCTCACCCTACTTTAAGCTTAAAAATCAGGAAGCAAGGCCCCCAATTCAGGAGGGACCAGTCGCTGGCGAAGGATATCATGTTTGGTGAGGTGGAGGGTCAGAGAAAAAGAGGAAGATCCCCAGCGAGATGGAGTGGCAAAGTAGCAGATTCAGTGGGCTCAAGTGTGACAAAAGTGAGGTTCGCCCATGACCAGACAGTGTTTTGTTCTGTTGTACATAGGGTCGCTATGAGTCGGTACCGACTCGATGGCACCTAACAATAACAACATCCCAAAACCATTGTAGTAATTCTAGGTCCTTTGTGGTTCCATATAAAATGTTAGGTTCAGATGGTCAATTTTGATGAAAAATCTTACCTGGATTTGAGTGGAGATGGCATTGAAGCAACAAAATCACTTTGGGGTCAGATTTGTCCTCTATATCTCAGCTGCCTGGCATTTCACTGTGGGCTTGAATTGTGGTTTCTTCCCCACATATTTGGATGGGTAGGTTTGCTGTTTCCACATTATTACAAAACAGTGCTACAAAGAACACCAACTCTTTCTTCCCTGGTCACCTTACTCTCACGCTGCTAGATTCCTTCATCAAAAGTAGTAAAAATTTTTGCATAGCATAGAAAGGGAATTATGGGAAAAAAAATTTGCTGATAGCATTGTCAAGTTGCCTTCCAAAAATGTTTTTACCAGTTTGTGCCTTTACTTGTTATTTATGGCCACTGAGTTGATTTCAGTTCGACCCAAGTGTGACAGAAGAGCATAATTAAGTCCTGGGGAGGAAACAAAAATTGGGCTCACCGCCTGTCAGTCGCTTGGTCGGGAGCCCACCTGCTGCTACATTTAGCCAAAAGAAGGTTCTCGGAAGCAGAGTGGGGAGGTGTGGTGGGTGGCAGCTGCCAGCTGGGCTGACTCTGCATCTTGCGCAGGGCACTTTGGTGAATACTCTGCATCAGGTGCGACCCACCTCCTTCCTGGGGGTCCCCCGGATTTGGGAGAAGATGCAGCAGAAGCTAAAGGAGCATACTAGCAAGACCTCGGCTTTGAGGCGGAAAGTGTTCTCGTGGGCAAGAAATATTGGCTTGCAGGTCAACAGCAAGAGAATGATGGGGTAGGTAGAGGGTCCTGGGTGCAGGGCTGGCGAGCTCAGTCTCCTCCACTGGTGTGGGGTGGGGGGCGGCGTGTCCCATCAGCCCCCTTTAGGCTACTGAGCTGTCCTGGGCACCCTTCTTCACAGGATCCACGACTTACCCATGGGCTACCGCGTGGCGAAGAGCCTCGTGTTCAGCAAAGTCCGGAGCGCCCTGGGCCTGGACCGCTGTCGCTTCTTTGTGAGCGGGGCCGCACCGCTCACCCAAGAGACGGCTGAGTTCTTCCTCAGCTTGGACATCCAGATCTGTGAGATGTATGGGATGAGCGAGACCTCGGGGCCACACACAGTGTGTGCACCGGAGAACTACAAGCTCCTCAGGTACCCGCCCCCTGCCCTCCAGCCGCAAGGGGGCGCTGACGGGAGAGGGCTGGGTGCGTGCCTCTTGTGCCGCTGGAACCGATAGACCACAAGTGAGTGGTTTCGAAGTTTCTTTTTCTTATTTTAAGTTTTTATTGTGATTTGAGTGATAGTGTACACGGGAGAACATTGGTTTTTACATTGATAGTATCATATTTCATTTCATTGCAATGATTGCAATCCCCTACGTGCATCACCTTTCAACAGTATTTGCTTCTATTCCCTCTGTTGTTGTTGTTGTTGTTTTAATGTACACAGAAACACTCAGGCATATATAATAATTTACACCACCAAAGGACACATTCTGCAAGCCTGCCTCCTGGCCGCCAGCTCTCAGTCCCTCTCTTTCCATGAGTCGAGAATCCTCAGCTGCTCCCTCTCTCCACATCCCCATCTCTGGTGTCGCTGCTTCTCTGGATAGGGTCCCACATTCTGCTTGTACTCTTCTCCCTTGGTGGTCCTCTGTTCCTGGACTGTAAGATTAACTGTTGTTGTTGTTATTGTTAAGTACCATGGAGTCGGTTCCGACTCATAGTGACCCTGTACAGGGTTTCCGAGGCTGTAAATCTTCACAGGAGCAGAAAGCCTCATCTTTCTCCCGCAGAACCGCTGGTAGTTTCGAACTGCCGACCTTGAGATTAGCAGCCCGATTCGTACCACTACGTTACTACGTCTATCTTTACAGTTCTGACAATCGCAGTTAGTCATGATAACAATTATTCACTTTTGAATCATAAGAATCTTATCCCCATCTCCTTTCACCAGACCCATCTAGACAAGATGAAAACTATTCAGTGGGGTCCTACCCTCCCCACTCACTCTGAAACTAGAGGCAACCCATTTCTTGTGCTACTTAAATGATTCTAAAAAATAAAATAATGAAATCATTTTTTTCAAACATAAAACAAAAGAAAAGTTTTGATGAAAGTGTTGCTTCCGAAAAGATTTTGAGCATTCACTATGGAAATATGTTCAGCATCATAGGCAACAATGCCTGTAAAACCTTTTTACACAAAATGAAGTATAGTTTAATCCTCAGGAAAGCAGGGTTAGCACAGGTGTGTAGTAGTTTAGAAGCAGAAATTCTTGGAAATGACCTGTAAGAATCTGTTTCTTAATTGCTGGTAAAGATAACTGCCTAGAAACCTCTAGGGGGCAGGCACTTCTACTCTGTCACATCCAGGGCCACCGGGGATCGAAGTGACTCAACGGCTCCTCACAGCAACAAATAATATACAAGGTCGCTAGGTGGTGTAAACAGTTTGTGACTGGGAACCTAAAACCCAGCCAGAGCAGCTGCTCTTCAGAAACCGGATACATACAGGATCTCTGAGTCGAAACCAACTCAGCAGCCTTTAACAGCAACAGTAGAGTTTCCTCAAGAGGAAGATGTGGCGATCTGCTCCTGTTAAGATTACCCAAACCGAAGCCCACTGCCACTGAGTGGATTCTGACTCTTAGCAACAGGAGTAGACAGCCTCAGCGTTCTCCCTCAGAGCGGCTGATGGGCTTGAACCACTAACCTGTCAGTTAGCAGCCAAGCACTTAAGTATTGCAAGACCCTGGCTCCTTTACCAGGGCTACAGGTATTAAGATTTGCCACAGGTATCTGGAGGGGGGGACATGATGTGGCCCATACCGTGTCCCCTCCTGTGCCCCCACAGTTGCGGGAAGATCTTGAATGGTTGCAAGAACACACTGTACAACCAGAACAAAGATGGCATCGGCGAGGTCTGCTTTTGGGGCCGGCACGTCTTCATGGGCTACCTGGAGCGGAAGGAAGCCACTCTGGAAGTCATTGATGAGGACGGCTGGCTGCACTCTGGGGACCTGGGCCGAGTGGACCAACAGGGCTACCTCTTCATCACTGGCCGCATCAAAGGTACTGGGGCCCCGCAGGGCAGGCAGGGTGTTCTGCCCCTAACTGGCTTGCTTTTCCTTTTGTAAATGGTGGTGAAAATATACGGATACACCAAAGCATTCACCCAGCCTACAGCTTCCACATTCACTGTGCAGTGTCATGGATGGCTTTCTTCATATTGTTCCACCGTGAGCATCAACTCAGAGCCACCTGCCAAGCAGAAACTCCTCATCTCTCCTCTCCTGCCAAGCTTAAAAACCAAAAGTCATGAAGTCCATTCCAACTCATAGCTAAACTGTAGAGGGTATCCGAGCTGTAAATATTTACTGGAGCAGAAAGTCTCATCTTTCTCTTGAGGAACCGGCTGGTAGGTTTGAACTGCCAACCTTGTGGTTAACAGTATGGTGCTCATCCTACAGCACGACTAGGGCTCCTTCCCTCCCACCCTTAGTGACCACTAGTTATCTTTGCTGAAGGAACTCCAATGATGCAACAGTTGTGTGCTCAGTTGCTAACCGAAAGATTGGCCGTTGGAACCCACCCAGTGCCTCCTGGCAATCTCCTCCCATAAAGATGGTTGCCTGTTCTGTCACATGGGGTCGTCATGAGTTGGAAGCAACTCTAAGGCACTTAACACTAACAACAACAGAGATTTGCTTGTTTTATGTAAGTGAGGTCTGGCAGTATTTGCCCTTTTTCAACTAATTTCACTCAAGGAAGTGATTAAAGCACATGGCTGCTAACTGAAAGATTGGCAGTTCAAACCCACCAGCTGAGTCAAGGGAGGAACACAAGGGAGTCTGCTCCCCCAAAGAGCATGGAAACTCTGAGTCCTACAGCGTTGCTATGAGTCTGAATTGTCTAGTCTAGCAGTGATTTTAATTTCACTCAGTGCCCATGTTTGCTAGTTTCATCCCAGGCAAATTTCATCCCATGCAAGTTTCATCCCATGCATGTTTCATCCATACATGGGAACTTTATTTCTCTTTGTGGTTAGTGGAAATTTATTCCATTGTGTGTACATCCATCTGCACCTAGCAAGGACTACATTCCCAAGGAGTAGGACAGGGCTCCAAGATACTCTTGTTTCGGAGGGGCAGTGTAATATAGAATGGTGTCTGTCTGTCTGACTCTTGAGGTGGGACCCACAACCCAGCTACACTGAGCTCAGTTTTGTTCCAGAGCTCCTCATCACCGCTGGTGGCGAGAACGTGGCCCCGGTACCCATCGAGAACTTGGTCAAGGAGAAGCTTCCCATCATCAGTAACGCCATGCTGGTGGGAGACAGGGCCAAGTTTCTCAGCATCCTGCTGACACTGAAGGTGATGTGGGCTTGTGGGGGGACAAAAGGTGTCTTCCTGAAGAGCCAGCGGCCAACTGGAGCTTTTCCCCCAGCGGGTTGTCTTTGTTGTTTTTAATGATTTATTTTATTTTCGGTTGTTGAGAATGCATATGTATGCAGCAGAACACACGTGCCATCGGTCTCCATGTGCACGATTCTGTGACATGGATGGCATGCAGCCATTCTTGCCTTCCTTGTCCCACTTGTTCCTTCACCACCATGGTGCACTTGCAGCCCCTCTGAGCTTCCTGTTGAAACTTTCCAGTGGTGATTGTCAGTTTCATTCATCTTCATTCTCTAATGTTGTTATCAAAGAAAGACCACAAGGGAGTGGCTTTAACAAACAGAAATTTATTCTCTCACTGTCTAGGAGGCTAGACTCTGAACTCAGGGTCCCGTCTCCAGGGGATGGTCCTTATCTCTTTTCAGCTTCTGTTCCTTGGTGACTCTGATGTGGGATTACTTCCCCCCTCTCTGACTACTTCTCTGCCCCTAATATGCTTTTTTTCTATCCCACCATGATCTCCCTTACACTCACACTGCCTCATGAACACATCAAAGATAACCTTATTTCCAAATGGGATTGTATCCACAGGTTTACAGGTTAGGATTCCAACACGTTTTTGGGGGGATACAATTCAATCCCTAACATCACTCCATGGGGAGCGTTCTTTAAATGGGGCACAGTGCTCACGGCCGATGAGAACACATTTCTTGGTCTTGCGGGGCTGGGGGTTGGGTGGGTCCTTGTGTGTGTGTGTGTGTGTGTGTGTGTGTGTGTGTGTGTGTGTGACAGCAGTCTTCCCGGGCAGTGTGAGATGGACCCAGTGACTGGAGAACCGTTGGACAAACTGACCACGGAGGCCATCAACTTCTGCCAGCGCCTGGGCAGCCAGTCGTCCACTGTGGCGGAGATCCTGGAAGTGCAAGACCCCTATGTCTACACAGCAATCCAGAAAGGCATAGACCAGGTGAATGAGGTGGCCATTTCCAATGCCCAGAAGATTCAGAAGTGGACCATCTTGGAGAAGGACTTTTCCACCGTTGGTGGAGAGCTAGGTGAGCCCGCTGGTGGTCTTTTAGGACTCCCCTCACCACATGGGCTCTCAGCAGACGTGCTCTTTTCTACAGGTCTGTGAACTCCGGTGGTGCGCTGGGTTAAGCATTGGGCTGCTCACTGAAAGGTCGGCGGTTTGCATCCACTGGCCACTCCAAAAGATGTAGCGCTCTGTTTTGGTAAAGGGGATGGCCTTGGAAACTTTACGATGCAGTTCTACTCTGTCTTCGCTAAAAGTGGACTTTTGGGGATTTTTTTGTGGGCCAGTGGAGAATAGCCACCACAGCTAACTGCCCACCCCTCTCACCACACACACACGCACACACACACAGTCCCTTCTCCCCAGGGTTCCTCACTCCCAGCAAACCCTAGCTCCTCACCATGACCCTCCAGGATCTTTCTCCTGCCCACCCCCCCACCTCCATGCCCCCTGCCCCAACTGCTCTTGTGCAGCAGATTTGCCTAATGCAACAAACACATTGTGTGAGTTCTTGACTGCTGAGTCCATAAGTAAGGAACTCTGGTAGCGTAGCGGTTACGAATCAGGCAGCAAACCACAAGGTCAGCAGTTCAAAACTACCAGCTGTTCCGTTGGAGAAAGATGAGGCGTTCTGCTCCCATAAAGATTTACAGCCTCGGAAACCCTGTACAGGGTCGCTATGGGTCAGAACCGACTCCACGGCAAACAGCCACAGCCATAGCTTCCATGAGTGTTGATGGTGGATCGAAGCAAAATGACGTCTTGGACTTCAGTCTTTTCTGTTTTTCATGTTGTTATTTACTGGTCCAGTGGTGACTATTTTTGTTTTCTTGACATTGATGTGCAACCAATACTGAAGACTGTGGTCTTTGATCTTCATCAGTATATTTTGTTTTGTTTTGTTTTTGTTTTTTGCTTTCAGCAAGCAAGATTGTATTATCTGCATTTGCAGGTTGTTAATGAGTCTTTTTCCAACTGTGATGCAAGATTCTTGCACATAATCCAGCTTCTCAGATTACTTGCTCAGCATACAGATTAAATAAGTGTAGTAAACAATACAACCCTGACACGCACCTTTTCTGATTTTAAACCATTCAGTGTCCCCTTGCTCAAATGATTGTCTCTTGATCTATGTACAGATTCCTGATGATCACTATCAAGTGTTCCAGAATACTCATTCTCCACAACGTTGCCATAGCTTTTCATGATCCATGCAGTTGAAAACCTTTGCATAGTCAATAAAGCACAAACATCTTTCTGGTATTCTCTGCTTTCAGCCAAGATCCATTTGATGTCAGCAATGAGATCCCTTTTTCACGTTCTCATCAGAATCTGGCTTGAACCTCTAGCAGTTCCCAGTCAATGTACTGTTGTTGCTCTTATGTGCTGTGGAGTCAGTTCCGACTCATAGCGACCGTGTACAGGGTTTCTGAGGCTATAAGTCATTATGGGAGCAGAAAGTCTCATCTTTCTCCTGCGGCACAGCTGGTAGCTTCGAACTGCTGACCTTGTGTTTCGCGGCCCGATTCATAACCACTACACTACGAGAGCTCCTTAGTCGATGTACTGTAGCAGCCGTTTAAAAATTATCTGTAGCAAAATTTTACTTACATGTAATGTTAATGATGTTGTCTGATGATTTCTGCATTCCATTGTGACACCTCTCTTTGGAATGGGCACAGATATGGATCTCTTCCAATCAGTTGGCCAGATAGCTGTCTTCCAGATTTCTTGGCAGAGATGAACTGAGTGCCTCCAGTACTGCATCAATTTGTTGAAAGATTTCCATTTGTATTACATCAATTCCTGGAGCCATGTGCCTTGCCGACACCTTCAGTGCACCTTGGACTTCTTCCTTCAGTATCATTGGCTCTTGGCCATATGCTACTTTTTTTTTTTTTTTAATGTTTTATTGTGAATTATATGATAGTTTACATGAGAGAACTTTAGTTTTATATTCATTCCATCGTATATCATCTCATTGCCATGGTTCCAATCCCCTCCATGCATCATCAACCAACCAAAGGGTATATCCTAGAAGCCCACCCCCTACAATTC